GGGCGGGGCGGCCGAGGTTCAGCAAAAGCCACTTCTCCTGCACAGCCAGGCATGGCTGGAGAGACATGGGAGGTGCTGGAGCCGCTTGGGAGGAGTGCTTAGCCTCTGCTGCTTTCCCTGGAGCGGGAACCAGACTGTCTTTGCGATGCAAATATTGTTTCTGCAGGGGCTTGTTATTGCTAAGGCCACACCTCAGAGGAGAGCAGGCTCCTCTGCCTTGCACGAGCGCATGTGCCAAGCTCAGGTCCACGTACTGGCACGTTTGCAGCATCACTAGTTCTCGGGGGGACAGTAAACAGCCTCGGACCTGAGCGGCTTTGTTCCAGGACAGCCATGGGACTGAGCTCTTCAATTCAGAGTTCAGGACCAGACCCAGGTCCTACACTGGCTGCTGGGCTCATGTGCCCCTTTTCATAAGCCCTGCCCTTCTAAACACCAGCGCTGCGCTCCTTTGGGGTAAACCTGGGAGGTTTTGAGCCTCTTTCTTGCACAGGGAGTACCTGTAAATGTCTTGCAGTGGCTCTCTGGCTCCCTGTTCCAGCTGCAGCCCCTGTCTTTGAGGTACACAGCCAGGATGCATTTCAGTCTGATTCAAACAACCTGCGGTAGCAGGAAGATGTAACTGTGAAATTTCTTAATGAGACCAAGATACCAAGTGAGAAACAGGGGCTTCCCGGTACCGAAAGGGAGTCTGAACAGTGCTGGTGGTCCAAGAGGTGATGAGTAGCACATCCCCACAAATGCTCATGGTAATTTCTGCAGGTGTTGAAGGGCTTTAAACCACAAATTGCACATCCAGCCTGGGAAAAAGGCTGAGATCCCAGCAGGATCTGCTGCAGGACAGCAGAGAGAAGCTTCGCCCTCTTTGCACAACCCTCCTCATGGCTTTTCATTTGCTTTGCAGTGCCTCAGCCCCCCACAATCACCAAGCAGTCCGTGAAGGACTACATCGTTGACCCAAGGGATAACATCTTCATTGAATGTGAAGCCAAAGGGAACCCCGTTCCCACGTAAGTGCATCTACAGCCCTTCTTACGCTGAAGCTCTGATGTTCATTAGAGCTGGCTCTGGAGGAGCTCCCCTCCGGTCAAGCTGTGCCATTTACACCATCAGCTGATCCAGCTGTTGGCTTGCACAGCACAGGTAAGGATCTCACCGGGTAAATATGGTCCATGGTTACAAAACCAACCTCTCCTCCGTGCTTGCAGTTTTTCCTGGACACGGAACGGGAAGTTCTTCAACGTGGCAAAGGACCCCAAAGTGTCCATGCGGCGGCGGTCAGGAACGCTGGTCATCGACTTCCACAGCGGGGGACGGCCAGAGGACTACGAGGGCGAGTACCAGTGCTTTGCCCGGAATGACTACGGCACTGCTCTCTCCAGCAAAATCCACCTCCAGGTTTCTAGTGAGTAACAGCAGTGGCGCAGAGCAAGCAGCCGGCCATGCCCCGAGAAGAGCGGGGACTATTTGCATCGTATGAGATTTTGTAGAAGAGGCATGGAGAATATCCAGTGCTCAAACATCTCAGCCTGCTTCATCTGTTACCTGTGTTGGGATGTATCCAGCCACAGGACTGAGAGGAAGGCACGGGCGTTATGGCTGTAGCTAACAGGGAAATACTCCGTATAGATTTAAGGGGATCTTTCACATGTAGAAATGAAGTTTGCATTGAGGCCGCTCCATTGAAACCAGGCCAGGTCCAGTGGGAAGAGATCTGCAAAGCTACTCCCCTGCCTTCCTCATGCAGTGTCTTTACTTCTTATGGCAGAGTCTCCCCTGTGGCCCAAGGAGAAGGTGGATGTGATAGAGGTGGATGAAGGCGCTCCACTCAGTCTGCAGTGCAACCCGCCGCCTGGCCTGCCTTCTCCTGTCATCTTCTGGATGAGCAGCTGTGAGTCGGGGGAACCCCCTTCCCGCCTTGAACCCTGTGGGCAGCCTTTCCATCACCTGCAGTGTTTATTTAAAATAACGATGGTTAGGGTCATTACTGCTAGTTCCGAGCTTGGAGGCACCCATACGTGGCCTGGGCCAGGGGTTTCTCCTTTGCTCAGCCACCCGCGGGAGGATCTGCCTTGCTCTGAATGCCTGTTCTCCCCTGCAGCCATGGAGCCCATCCATCAGGACAAGCGCGTCTCCCAGGGCCAGAACGGCGACCTGTACTTCTCCAACGTCATGCTGCAGGATGCCCAGACCGACTACAGCTGCAATGCGCGCTTCCACTTCACCCACACCATTCAGCAGAAAAACCCTTACACCCTCAAGGTGAAAACCAGTAAGTGTCACGGTGGTCGCTCAGGATGGGTCTTTCCCGGCCGCTCTCGTGCAGGGTTTTCCTTCCACATACCTTGTTTCTGTTCTTGACAGTACTGAGACCTACCAGGGGGAAGAGTGGCTTCCTTCGTTTTGTTTAGGATAGTACAGGAACCTGTTTGGATGAGGAATGACAGTCCTCGGACGGCTAACCTAGCAGGGAGGGGTGGCTGGTTTCCCTCCAGCATCTCAGAGCTTTGCAGCTTCGTGGGTCGAGGGCTGCAGAGGTAGCTTGGTGCAGGTATTGCTATGTCCGTGTGTCTGGGATAAACTGGAAAGCACTTCAACACAGATGGGGCATTCCCCCCATCTTTAGGGAAGTGTATGATAACAAGTG